AGCAAACATGAAGCGTAAAAAAAAACTAAAATACACTTGGGGCGATAGTGACTTTGTGCGCAATAGGGCCAAAGAGAGCAGAGAGCAAACACTTGTCAGCATATCTCTTCCCCGCTGCCCATGTGCTACAGGCATCTACGGGTTTAGCACTATGTGACTGTGTGGTGCTAAAGTCTTCTAACATAATTTCATCGCATTTCAGCAACTACGTGCAACCGTCCCCTCTGACGAAGTCGTTCCTACCCTGAGGCTCTGTGAACAAGCTGAACTCAGGCAGAAATCGGTCAAACCCTACGAGCCTGATTGTCCTGGTGGCTCTCAAGCTGCCAGTTCTGATTTATCTCTTTTTGTTTGTGTGTCTGCGTGCACAGGACTGTGGACTGACTGACCCTGCCGGTAATGTTTGCAAACAGGCAGGATAAGGGGCTAGATTACCCAACAAGCCCTAATTACTCATGGATTCCATGCTTAATATCAGATTATACATTTTACAGATTATATGGCTCATTTTGAAATCTAGAACTTTGCGTAAAAAGTTTTGAATATAAGTGGGACAAAGATTGAACAGTGGAAGCTACTTCAGGTGTTTCTCACTTATCCTGAACTGATGATCCTCCATCGAGTACCATAACGAGTTAAATCTCCACGGTGACCTGAGATGGCTGATAAAAACACAGTTTGAAGTTATAGTCAGTGTGCGTGAGTGAGACTGTGTGTGTGAGAGAGAGGGATAGACAAAAAGAAGATTAAGGTTAGGTAAGATTAAGATTAACTAGTTGTGGGAGACACTGCTCCGTGTGTTTCACACATGTTTTGAGAGTTTTGCAAGCTAATCCCTATTGTTGTGAGAGACAGAGAGAGAGAGAGAGAGGAGAGAGAGAGAAAAGAGAGAGAGAGAGAGAGAGAGAGAGAGAGAGAGAGAGAGAGAGAGAGATACTTGTGTGTGTGGTCCAGGTATTACTCATGTTGTGGGGACTTACATCGGTTTACAGTCACATTATAGGAACTTGATTTTTATCTCCATACATGTTTCAGGTAAAGACCTGTTTTAGGGTTAAGGTTAAGGTTAAGGTTTAGGTTAAGGTTAAGGTTTAGGTTAAGGTAAGGCAAGTAGCTACTATGTTTAAGGTTACAGATTAGGTTTTGGTTAGGCTGTTTACAATTAATGCAAATGCTAATGAGGACAGTGTATGTGCGTGTGTGTTGGGGTTTTTATTTCCTTGTTGTATATTGAACAGACTGAATCTTGTCTTAGATTTTCAAATATATCTATGTTTTGCTCCAGGCAATGAATACAAATACATACATTTTTCTTTATTTCTGTTTTTCTTTAAAAAGTAGCTGTAACACTGTGTTAGCTGATTTGAGAGATATATATATACACACCTTATATATAGGTAAGGTTTTGAGTGAGTTCAGCAGAGAAATACATGTAGTGTGCTGATATTTCTGTTGTCTTTCACATGACCCTCCACCCCCTAACCCCACGTCTTCTTGTGTGGTTTGGAATTCAAACTCTGCTTGGAGGACATATCTGGGCGGTTGGCCACCACCTCGCCCACACCCTCCAGCCTTTCCTCTTTAGAATCTCCCTGACACACGCACAAGCACATGCACGCCCACACACACACACCCGACCCATACCCACCACCACCATCTCCAAACACTCACTCATACAATTGCTGAGACTCTCTTTTCAACTGTGCTAAACCTTTAGGCCCAACAATACAGGCAGGACCTAATCTTATGGCCCTCGTCCAATCAGAGGGCTGGAAACTAAAGAGTGGAATTGATTGGCTGGTGGCCACAGGGGCCAGTTAGAGAAAAGAGAACAAGAGGAGACAACCATTGTGGATTGATTACCATGAAAGACACTTTTGTTACTGGCGGTACACTGTGCCTGTATCAAGAGGAAACGCTATAGTGATCTTAAAATAGGTCAGTGCTACACTGCAGAGATAGCGAGGTGTGCATAAGACAATCTCACCACCCCTTCATGAGAGAGTAAGGTCCAGAGATTATTAGCTGTGAGTAATATTGATTAGCTGCAGTGCAAAGGTTAGCAGGGCAGTTTCTATCTGTAAATACCACAACACTTTGGAGAATGAAAACACAAGCGGAGTGATGGAGGAGAAGAGGTGAGGAAATATGCTCAATTAGCCTTGGCTATAAACTTATCAAAACCAAAACAGCACTTCGCATGCACTCAATGGTGCTTTTTTCTTAATCATGACGACATTGTTGTGAATTCAACTAGACGGCATCTCATCTTTCCATGTTGCAGGTTATAGAAACTGCTCCAAGAGAAGATTGAGCGTGTTTGCTCTGCTGGCAGCATTTTTAGTTCCCATAAAAATCACTCCACGGTATCTGCACACACCAATAAGTCAACTGGGATTTCAACTGTAGCTTGGAAAGATAAGGTTGCATCATGTTCAACTCCATTCCCAAATTTAAAAAAATGATTGGATGGTACAGTAATCTTACTCACAATCCCTTGGCTTTGGAAATAAGTTTAATTGAGGCCAAGACACTATAAAAATATATGGGAGCTTGGATGATGTTGACTTGAGGGTTTTATTGGTGTGCCCGCTCGCCTGATATTAAACCATGTTTTTATCTGTCTGATTTCATCTGATTGAATTAGATTTTATGGACTGCCTGCTGTTTCTGGAATTTTATCTTCTGTCCTACAGGCAAAAAACAATACTGTCCCTGATTCTCATCCAAGTGCACCTCCGACTATCTACACACACACACACACACACACACACACACACACACACACACACACACACACACAGAGAGACACTGTCCTATTCTCTGTTTCTACTGCCACATAATAACAACAACAACAATAATAATAATAGAAACTATATCTATAGCTATAAAAAAATAAACTTTAAGACTTCATAAGACCTTTTTAAAATAAAATTTAAGACTAAACTTGCAATGGATTCACAAACCAAAAGTGAAATAACACATTTAGGTGTTTTAGACTCAACCGCCTCAAGAGTGAAAGACTTTTGACACTCGGCACAGTTTGCTTTGTAAGGACTTCCATGTGCTGGCTTTAACCACCATGTGAACTCGTCACTCTCAAGATGACTTTATATTATTGATTACATCTGCGTGATGTTCAAAGGGGTTTCATGGTCTCAGAATGAGATTGGTTCAAGATTCTGGATACAGAAGAAGTGTGGGTGCGTTCCTTTTTTATTGCATAGAATCACGACTTTAGCCTTGTAATATTACAACTTTATTCGCAGAAAATGATTATGTTATTTTCTTAATATTACAACATTCCTTATTATTATAGTAAGTATCTTCTCAAGGACAACTCTATTCTCAAACCTTTTTCTCCAACATGGCCCTAATATTCATACTCAAGCCTCTAATCATTAAACTTTCCCCCATGTTTATAACTAGCTCGCAGGCTACTTGTAGTAGACTAAAGCAGAAATGAACTAAAAAAACGCAGTGTTTATCAGAACGAATATTGCATCTGACAGAGCAATTTACATGGTGAGTTTTGGTGGCACATTCATCCAGCTGCAGTGTGATCCAAACTGTGTCTGGACAATCCTGCTCCATCGTGATAAAAACAGCAGCTCGCACCAGCAAACAAACTTTACAGTGTGGTTTGTATGAACCTGCATTTTCAGCCCATTCACATGAGGGAAAGCATTAATGCGTGACGCAGATCAAATGCGAGATGCAAGAACACCCTCTGTGTGAGCCACCAATCCCACATCCTGCTCACAATGCTACAGCCCTTTGAATGTGAATGTGAGCCAGTGCAGTGAATTGGCTGCCGAGGCGAAGGGCTCTCACTGTGTCAGCTGCCATGACAGAAAGAGACGGAAGGGCAGCGTGCCTCTATTCTCAGCCAACACACGCAACTTGCACAGCGCGGGTAAATTACCTGTAGCTGCACAATCTATAGCCTTGGCTCTCCCACGCTGCAGCTCGTTCCCACCTACTTCATTCATTTTTTGGTCTCTGGATTCCTGAACTTAGATTGGTGCTTGTGCAGAGGTGTGTGGATAAGTTTTCTCAGAGTTACTGCCAGCATAAGCCTGTGTTGTTCCAGACTGTTTTGAGCTAATGCATTAAGCAGGTTTAAATAGCAAGCAGGCATCATTTGTTCTGTGTGGAGCAACAAACAGGGAGCTACAGGGAGATTAATGGGAGAAATTACAAGTGTATAAGAACAGTGTTACTAAGGAGGAGGATGATGTACGGTCATTGTCTTTCTTTTCAAAGAGTCTTGCACATGTTACATGAACATACAGCTGGAGAAACTTGCCAACGTTTGTTCTCTCTTTCTGTTTCTCATGTTAACTTGCACTAGAGGAGGGGTTTGTAGAGGATAAGCGACAGGAGGAGGTTCCTGCACGCCACTGGGATCCACCCCGGGGCTGTGATTGGCCGAGGCTGTTGTGAGGGAGTCCAGGGGAGGCCAGTAGGAAGGTGAGTGGTCTGGGAGTCTGCTAGGGGGGCAGGCAGCAGCGGAAAGCAGCCGCTACTGCCTCTTAAAGCCTAGGTGCTCCTCATTACAGCTACAGACTGATAGACACAGAGCAGGGGAGGGCTGGAGACAGTTCTGAGAGAGGGACGAGGAAGGAGAGAGAGAAATTGTGCACAGGGAAAGTTAGGAAATAAGCAGTCCTACTTGTGTGCTCACCCTTCCTTGGCTGCAGCCTCCCCACTGCACTACCTGAGGCACACATACTGACACACACATACACACACTCTCACACACCCACTCGGAGGTGTTTTAGGGAGGTTAATAGGGCTAACAATCCAGGGAAAGAGGGAATTAAACAGTGTTTTTGTTTTCAATCCGCCGCGTCCATACTCAGGAGAGAAAAAGGGATTACAGCTTGTACTCCTACCCCACTTATTCCTGTCTGCTGTCTGCATTTTACTGTAACTGAGTTACTTTGGAGATTTTTGGATACAACCTTCTTGAATTGTTGGTCCGAGCAAAGAGAGGCATGGCACACGGACAAAAGAGCCACAGGTGGGCATTAACCCAGGGCTCCTTCAGCTTGGCACTGGGCCTGTCGCTCCTCTCCCTCCTGCTCCTCACCGTCTCGGCCGCAGATGAGTACGACTACTACAGCTGGCAGTCGGACAACTTCCACAATGGCCGATTCTACACCAAGCAGCCCCAGTGTGTGGACATACCAGCTGACCTGCGCCTGTGCCACAATGTGGGCTACAAGAAGATGCGGCTGCCCAACCTCCTGGACCATGAGACCATGCCAGAAGTCAAGCAACAGGCGGGCAGCTGGGTGCCCCTCCTGGCCAAGCGCTGCCACGCTGACACCCAGGTCTTCCTGTGCTCGCTGTTTGCGCCAGTGTGCCTGGACAGACCCATCTACCCCTGCCGCTCGCTGTGTGAAGCCGTGAGGGACAGTTGTGCTCCGGTGATGGAGACCTATGGCTTCCCCTGGCCGGAGATGCTGACCTGTGACAAGTTCCCCATCGATAACGACCTCTGCATCCCCATGCAGTTCACTGGGAATCATGCGACACAGCCACCAGGTAGGGACTCTGACACACACACCTTCATTCAAGCATACTGCTCAATAGTGTCAACACATGAAACATTTATTACAGCTAATAAAAGAGTCACCTGTCAAACTTATGGCTTTTACAGCAGGTAGACTGTGTTTTTGGCAAAATGGTACCTAGACATTTTGTACAAACTCAAATTTTAATATCCTCTCATAATGTCATGTGACAAGCTTATTAACTACAACACAATCAATTTCAGTTGAATAAACGCATGAATAATAATTAAAAAGCAATAAAGTATTGCTAATTATCTGTTCAGATCAGGGTTTAAATTAAGATATTTTTGATTATGAAGTCTGCCACTTGCAATTTGATAAACAAGACATGTAAGCGCATGTATTTTATATCAGATGCAAAGCTGAAATTGTTTTCTAATGACTTGTGTTGAGTGCAGACACAAGAAATAAAATACTCTCAACACATTTTAAACAAATGTGAAACAAGTGAGTTTGTGACTGCATTGCATATTTAAGGACTTTGATTCCTGTCGCCAACAACACTATTAAGACAGATGAGTGTTCAGAGTCAGCAACAGTGAGAGCTTGAAAATGGCTGGGAGGCTCATATGGCTTTCCCAGCAATGCGATGAGGCCAGATAAAAGTTTTAAGTGAGAGACGATCCAAAGGAGGTCAGTGAGGGAGACGGGGGCAAGAGGAGGTTACAGGGGAAAGTTCTCGGGTAACTGGACAGTTTAGGATGGCTCCCTGCCATTTACATTTACGCCTGAGGGAGAGACAGACGGAAAGAGACACACACAGGAGACGCAGAGACTGCAGCGACCAGTCGGCTCACTCAGTAAAGATAAATGCACCAAGATGTTTAACAAATCTTGACTGAAAAGGTGATGTGCATTGCAACCCCCCCCCCCCCACCTTTATCAGCAGTCGTCCATCAACAGCTAATCAATCAATCTAACAACTGATTGAATGGAGAATGTCTCATTTGAACTCATGCCTGCAACTCACAAGCTGGTCTGCAGAGTGTCAGTACACAAACCAATAAACCTGAGAATGATCAAATTTGAAGAAAAGTGACTACACTGCTGTTTCTAAGAGAGAAAATGTTATATAATTTTACACAGACAAGTCAAGGCACCAGATGGGCCCATCGTCAGCTGTGAGTGGGAACTAAATAGAGAAATAAGTGTGTGAGTGCATGTGTGCGTGCTTGTGTGCACCACGACTACTTGAACAGCCTCTTCACAAAAGCTGAAAGGGGGAGAGAGGGAGTTGATGAGGGACTTGAGGCAGTGGAGGGGGACAGTCCCCACTGTGTCCCTGCCTGCTCAGCTTTTGTTGGGTCTGGCAGCCGGCAGGCCAATTAGCAAGAAGGCCAATTACTGAGCTCCCGCTAATTAGTCGACATGACAGGACAAGAGAGGCAGGCGGAGAATGGGAATGGCTAAAGTCTGTTTGTCCCCCGAGAGGAGAGAAAAGGAGAGGGGAGCCGGAAAGTAAAGAGACGCAGACGAGGAGAAAAGCTGCTTCCTGCAGCATGAAGTGTCCTCCTCTGTGCTTTCAACCAGGACTCAAAGAAAACAGTTTCTTATTCCACTTCTTAGCTTTAACCATTTATTGTCATTTTTCATCTACTTTGATTGAAATGTTCCTGTGTTAAAATATGATCAAACATACAGAGTAAACGCTTTTCCTTAACTTAAACTATTAACTATTATCATTAACTATTATTCTCACAGCTAATCTCACAGCAACTATCCCTGATCAAAAAGTGTGAAAAGATTATTGTAAGATATTTCAAGTAGATTCATAAAGAGTCGACTTACTGCATTAGGAAAAAACGGCTGCTCTGTTTTTCTAGGACTGGCATCAAAAATGTGACATTTTGGCTTTGCAGAACCATAAGTCATTCTTTTACATGCTCATGGAGAAGGAGGCGGCTTAAACTGTTGCACTGGGTTTGTTGATCCTATCTAATCAAATAATGAGCAGAGGCAGGGAGATAAGAAAGTGGTGCAAGATCAATTAAACTATATAAAGGGATCTTTGTTATAAAGCAGTTTTATGAGGAAAGTACACAGATAAATGTATTGAATTAAATTTCTAAGGAACAAATCAAAAATGGAGTATTGGTTAGGTTTTAAAGTTTATTTTGTGTGCATGCGTGTCTTTTTTAAACCGAGAGTCAACCCATATCATTTCTAGCCTAGAGGCTCAGTCTTTGACGTATTGTTAAGAGGCAGAGATTCTCAGATGTGCCGATGAGGCCATCCTGAGGACAAGCACACACACACACACACACACACACACACACACACA